TAAGAAACTATTTTAATGAGTATAATTTTGACATTGTTGAGTTTCCGAAACTTGGCTGTCATCGGATCATAATGATTCGGCATTTGGAATAAATGGGTATAATTTTATAAGAAAAGACAGGGATGGCCGAGGTGGTGGTGTCGGTATTTATATAAAAAAACATTTTCAATATCAAAATATTCAGTTTGATATTCCCACGGATATTTGTGAAATAATTAGTATTAAATTTAAACTAAACAAGAAACATATTTTATTCATAAATATTTATAGGGCGCCATCATTGGACACTGATAATTTTATCGATACTTTAAGTGACCTAATGAGTATGACAGTGCCATTCTATGATTGTGTGATTTTTTCAGGCGATTTTAATATAGATTTTTTGGGCGAGTCTCGTTTTTCATCCAGAATCACTAATCTTATTGATACTTTCAACCTTGCTCAACATATTACGCAACCAACGCGCATCACCGATACTTCATCAACATTAATAGATGTCATAATAGCAAATATCAATATGCCGTGCATTTGTAGCCATTCTTTGGCTATTTCTGAGGAACTATCAGATCATTGTTTGGTGTATTCTATATTTAACCTAAAAACCCTTAATAATTGTGAAAAGTATATCGAATTCAGAGATTATGACGCTATTGCGCTTGATGAATTTGAAGAAGACGCAGTGCAATTACCGTGGTACCAAGTCTTTTATATTAGTGATATAAATGAAAAATTACAAGTTTTCAATGATTATATTTTGTATCTCGTTAATAAGCATGCCCCAATTAAACGTAAAAAAATTCGTGAAAGACTGTTTATGCCATGGATTACAAGTAATATTAAATTATTAATTAAGGTGAGGGACAAGGAATAATTATTTAAAAGATAAGAAAGATACTCGCTTAGAGTACTACAGACATTTGAGAAATTACACGAAACATGATATAATTAGAGAAACGGTTGCTTATTTTAAAGATTTTTCAATGAAAAAAAAATAAAGACTTCTGGAACACGGCTAAAAAACTTAATATAGCCAGCAAATCAAATGTTGATATACCCGCAGATTTAGCTAATGCAGAAGGTCTTAACACGCATTTTGCAAATTGCAGTGACCATAGATGACTAACCAACTAAATTCTACCAACATAACACATTTTCCACTTTTTTCTAATGAACTTAATTTTCAATTAATTGATTATGCTACTTTAAATACTATAATAAACTCCATATCATCTAATGCGATTGGTGATGATGAGATATCAATTAGAGATTTACAGCTTTGTTTACCATTTTGTAAGGACGCTTTAATAAATATAATCAACTCTTGCATACTTGATTGCGTATATCCAGATATCTGGAAAAACTCTATTATTAGACCTCTAGCCAAGGTATCTGTTCCAAAAACTTTTAATGATTTACGACCAATCAGTGTTCTATCGGTGGTCTCTAAGATTATTGAGAAACATATTCATAAGCAGTTATTTTCATTTTCTACCGAAAATAAAATAATGCCAGAGTGTCAATCCGGTTTCAGAAAATATTTTAGTACAACCACATGTTTTGTAAAACTAGTGAATGACATTCGAGTAAATATGGAAGACAAAAAAATCACCTGTCTTGCTTTGCTTGATTTTAGCAAGGCATTTGATACTATAAATTATGATATGTTACTAGCTAAACTCCATTACTTCGGACTATCAGAAAAATCTATAACGTTTTTTAAAAATCATCTTTCTAATCGTCTGCATTGCGTTCAAGTAAGACAGGGAAATCATCAATTAAAGTCAAATTACGTTTCTATGACATGTGGAATTCCTCAAGGATCCATATTACGACCATTGTTATTTTCATTATATTTTGCCAATATGAATAAAGAAATAGAATTTTCTACATTACAACAGTATGCAGACGATTCACAAATTTACTGTGCTTTCGCATCTGTTAATTTAAAACAAGCTGAAGAAAATTTTAAAACAGATATTAATAACATATACAAATATTCAATGAAACATAATCTAAAATTAAATGCATCCAAATCATGTATTATGCTGCTTGGAAATAATCAGACTATTCTCAATTATCTATCAGACAATCTTGATATATGTGTTAGTAATACTAAAATACTAATAGTTAAGGACGCTAGAAATCTAGGCATATATTTTGACTCTAATTTAAAATTTGATATGCATGTAAAAAATATATTGAAAATTGCATATATGCGACTAAAAGGTTTGGTTTATTTTAAGAAACATCTTACTCAGAATACAAAATATTATCTGTGCAATTCGCTAATTTTGTCCTTGTTTGATTACGGAGATGTGGTATACGGCTCTTCATTGACTCAAATGGTTGCTAGATCCATTCAAAAACTTCAAAATTCCTGCATGAGATTTTCGTATAATATCTCATTTCGTACACATATTACGCCATATTTAAATCAATTTAATATTCTGTCTATGGTAAATAGGCGAAAACTTCATATGTTAACATTTATCTACCGTATCTTAAAACTGGCCAACCGCCTTATTTAAAATCATTGTTTATACCTTTTGACCAACTCATGTAACAAGAAACTTACATTGTTTCAGAATACCTCAACATAGGACGGCTGGCGTTCAGAAATCGTTTTCTTTTCTTGCGCCGCAATTATAGAATTATCTTCCAATCAGTGTTAAATGCTTTAAATCACATTATTTTAATAAATATGTTAAGAATAATTTGATGGTTTTACAATCGAAAATAATATAGAACTTATTTCTGAATATATCTTTTCTCTTTTGTTATTTTGGCAAACTGTGGTGAACGGGCTTTTAATTTGATGTGGTTTTGACTGGCTCACTGCTCAGCTTTACAATTTTGGAAAATATTTGTGTATGTGTTGAAATTGTATTTATATACTTTTTAACATTGCTAAATTGTCTTGCGGACGCTTTGTTCTGTGCGCTCGGGGTTTCTTTTTGCTTTGCCGGTGGTCCTCTGTTTTTCTTACGGGTTTGTTTGTTGTTGGTATATTATTGTATTGAAAATTAAATTCTGTTTAGTTATTTTTTACAGGGAGTGTGCCACACTGATGCCTTTGGCAATCAGTGAATCGGTTTTATAATCGCGGTGCACTCCTTATTAGGCTATTAGGCTATTAGTCAGCTAAAGTATGGTTTGTATTTTGTATATTTTTTATATTGGGCCTAATAAAAAGATTTGATTTGATTTGATTTGATTTGAATATAAGTTTTTAGGCACTCTGTATAACGTAGTAGTATTGTTATTATTGCAAAACAATATCTGATCAATAAATAAACTTCAGTAAATATTTAGTATTAAAAACTTCGATACCCTTGGAGAAAGGAAGCATTAATTTTTTACTGCAATTTCATAAAATTGAAAATATTTAAAAAACGGTAAGGTTTAAGTGTGATAAACATTAATCAAATTTTTACCATTATTTCAATCGTAGAATCTAAAAATAAAATAATATACAGGGTGTTCCATTTAAAAAAATACAACTATTATAATTTTTACTTATTTGGGACACAAAATTATAACTATAATAGTCCTTCAACGAACCCAAAGGGACAACCCTGTATAACAATAACATAATACCCCAAATATCTGCAAAACTTATAAATACACAAAAAAAATAAAAAAATACACAAAAAAAAATATTATATTTTAATTCTACATTTCCATTTTTGACATCTTCGTCACCAAGAGCGATATTAGACTTCATCGGACACATGGTCACCCTGTAGTTAGACAAATTAATTAGATTAGCTGCCCATGTGTATTTTATCTGCATTTCAAACTAATTCAGTTTGTTTTTGAAACTGTTAAGTGACACTTTTCTCTAATCAAACCATTCTGAACTATGAATTAAAATATTTTTCTAAAAGACACTTTGATTAAATTTTTAATTAATTTTCTGTAACAAAGTAGTACAAATTCCTGTTATATTATTTAAAATGAAATGAAAACTAAAATAAAGAGACACATACACACACACCGTGGCTAAATTCACCTCACGGCAACATTTTTAGAATTAATGAATTAAAGAAATTATTTCGAGTTTTTAAAACAGATTAAACTGTAGGTAAAAATCCGCCCGAATCGAAAAGCTTTTTCATTAAGTTGTAATAGAAGCAAAAGCACTTTACTAAAGAGAAATATATCTTTGCTTTAGAAAAGCTACATCGAGATTTTATATAAATTTAATTAAAGTTTTTTTGCTGCCCGACTCATTTACCTTTGTCACTGTCAAATTAAGCATTTCCCCACCTGTTTTTCCCTTCACCGACCGCCCACGAACTCTGTCTATCTGTTATGTCAAAAGGGAAAATTATGAATCTTGATATAACGTCGTCGAGTTTTATATTAAACTTTTCGACTGTTTTGTTCTTTAATAAACTGAACAAAAGAGCGAAAATTGGAATCAAGAAACACGTTTTGAGTATTATTAATTTTACATTACTTTTATAAATTATTGCGCAAGATACTTAATATACAGGGTGGTCCGAATTGTATTCGGGATAGTTCGGCAGTATATTCTGTAGATAAAAATAGGTAAAAAAGTTCGTATAAATTCATGTTTTAAAACACTTCATTTCGGAGATAGTAGCAGTAGAAGTTTAATTTTTATTTCTATAATAATTGAATAGGTGAATATTAAAAGGAACTAACTCCAAAATTTAAGGATTTCACTTTTTTGCCTCAAGTCATATTTTTCAGTGTTTCTGATCCATTGGTAAAGAAAGGAACTATCTCCCATCACTCAGCTCGTTGAAAATTGTACTTAAGATATACAGTTGAGCCGTGAAAGGAACTAAATCCCGGAGTTAGTTCGTTTTATTACTCAATCTTTGAATAATGTCGTGGTCGAATGCGTGAGGTGGCGCTGCGTTTGTGTAAATTTTGTTGCTATACGCCCGGCGCCTGCCACTCCTTGACAGTCTACCGATGCACTTGTTGTTTGCGTGTTTAACGTGGTGTAAACGTAAACGTATTGAAAATAAAGGACAATGAGGATGAAACATGTAGTGTTCAAATTCAAAAAGGAAAAAAACGTCAGCGCCAGCCAGAGACCTGGAAGTGTAACGTCCGAAAGCTAAACAAATTAAAAGGAGAAGAACATAAAACTTCAAAAGGAAATGTCGTACTAAGGAAGACGATCGTATCGCCTATATGCAGGTAAGGTTAAAGTTAAAGAACTAGAGCATCAGGGCTAACTATTTTATGGTATTCATATAGTATTCATATACTTGGCAATTTAGTGCACACTGATTGTATTTTTACTTCTGTTTAATAACGTCATCAGTTAATAAAGGATAGAGATACACTGAGTCACTAAACTGCTCTGAGTGCCCAGTTGAAAACGGTTTTAGTGTTTTACTCTGTTGTCGAAACTTATAATAAAAAACAATGTATTTTTATTACTTTCAGATGTAAAATGGCTTGCTATAAAAAGTTCACAATCGACCAACAAACTGATGTGTTAAAGACCTTCAATGGTATGGATTCTAAAAATGAACAGGACCTTCATTTACAACGGCTTATGGAATGCTTTCAAATAAAACGCAGAAGAGGACAATTAGAGAAACGTAAGGCTAGTTTCAAATTTTTTTGTCTTCGCAATAATGATCGAGTTGCAGTATGCCGACAAGCATTTATGAATTTGCATGTTATCACCCAAAAACGTGTTTATCGGATCACAACCTTACTTGCTCAGGGGTTAACTCCAAAAGATAAAAGAGGGTTGAATGTTAAATCTCATTGTATCTCTGGGGATATTTGCAAACAAATCCACGAGCACATTAGCTCTTTTCCCACCAAAAGCACCCATTATGGACAAAATGAAATATCTTATTTGGATGCAAGACTTAATGTAAAAATTATGTACCAGCTATTTAAATCACTTTATCCAGATTCAACTGTCAAGTACGAATTTTACCTAAAGTATTTCCACGAGAACTTTAACCTGCGATTTGGTCGGCCACAAATTGATGTTTGTTCATCCTGTGAAGAACTGGAAACCAAATTAAAAAATCCGCATTTATCTCAAACTGTAAAGCTAACTGTAGAAGGTGAACTTCAAGTTCATAAAAGAAGAAGTAAAAAATTTTATAACGAGCTAAGAGCCACTCGGGAACTGTGCAAGTCCGATGAAACAGTATGCGGGCTTGTATTTGACTTCATGCAAAACTTGCCATTGCCCCATATTCCCGTGCAAGAAATTTTCTACATGAGGCAAATATGGGTATATGCTTTTTGTGTTACAAATTTAAAAGATAACTCGACACGAATGTATGTATATTCCGAAGGGACAGCCAAAAAAGGCGCAAATGAAGTGTGCAGCTTTCTTCTGGACTACATAACAGAGTGTGTCCCAGAAACAGCAAAAACATTGCTTTTGTTTTCCGATTCCTGTCCGGGTCAGAATAAAAACCATACCCTAATTCGTTTTTGCTTGGGTTTGGTTGAGTCAGGGAGATTTGAAAATATTATCCAGAGATTCCCCATAAGAGGTCATTCATTCCTAGACTGCGATAGGACATTCGGCTTGTTTAAACGAAGTATAAAAAAAGCAGATCGCATTTATCATCCCATGGAATATGTTGAGTTAATGGCCAACGCAAAATCAAACATAACAGTAAAAGTAATCCGTACAGAAGATATCAAGGACTTTAATAAGTGGTGGCCAACATTATACAAAAAAACAGTGCTATCAGCGGAATCGTACGGCAGAAACGTTCCCCGTCAACAAAAGCAAAGTTTTACACCAGCCTCTTTCATGGAGTTCAAATATCTCCAAAATGGTAGTCTGCAGACATCGGAGTTTATCGGGGGCTTAAAAAAGCACACCTTTCAGTTAAAACAACCAGGAATCAGACCGAATCCTTCAAAGATATTTGATGCTTTGGACATTGCATATCCTGAAAAAAAAGTGCCAATTAATAAGCATAAAGTTGATGCTGTCAGAAATTTGCTAAAATATATTCCCGAAGAAAATGAAGATTGTAGGAAGTTTTATGAAGATTACCTTACTTGGCCTACTACTATGGAAGAAAATTAGTTTAAGATTGATAATGTTACGTAGTATAAATAAAACTGGATTAAAACTTATAAATTTATTTAGTTTATTTTTTCCTAAAAACCATTTGGTTTTAAAAAGAACTAATTCCAACGTTATTTTTTCAAAATATGTTTTTTGTTAAAACAAAAATATTACTAATATTATCGTGAAAAAATACTGTAATATAGTTTCTTTAAGTCTACTATAACGTTTTTTGTCAAACTCTGTAAATGTTTTTTATAGACAGTTTTTTTTAATTTCTCAGCATTTTAGTTTTCTGGAGTTAGTTCCTTTTAATAGTCGCCGATTCAATTGTAAAAAATAACGCGGATTCCACGTCTGAACCCGAACCAAACCTTTTAGGACCAGCAACAACATCCGATCCATCTAAAAATCTTTGGGCATTTTTGATGACAAATTATCCCAAAAAAAATCCGTTGTAACACCGACAACAACAGCAATGTTAACTGTAAAACAATATTTGCAACTACCCAATTTAGACAGAACAAAGTGCCCATTTGAATTTTGGAGTCAAAACAAAAGTATGTTTCCGGAACTCTATGAATTGGCTCAAAAATATTTAAGCATTCCCGAACTTCTGTCCCTTCAGAAAGAATATTTTCTAAAGCAGGACAATTAACCAATGTTCGACGAAATCGCTTACTACCCAAAAATTTGAATCAGATTATTTTTTTTAAATAGTTATTATTCACACTAATGTTTTTGCTTTTAATTGTTTATTTAAATATTTAATTTGTTATTGGCTTTCAATATTTGTTGTTTATTATTTATTACTTTTATTTAACTATTAAATATCTGCGTTGAAAATATTTGTACCATTTTTTTGGTTTTCTATTTAAATTTAAAAAACATATTATATTATTATTATATATATTATTTTTTAGGTACGAACATACTTATTTCCTATTTTGTTGATAAAAATGTTGTTTTTTGATTTCTAACAATGTATAAATTATAATCAATGTTTCCATTAATGTAATATGTTATATATTTCTTTTTTTTTTTTCAGTTAAAATTTTAGGATTGAATTTTCTTAAATATATACATTTGTTTTATTCAATGTTTTGAATAAAATAATTTATATAATTTAAGCAATTTTTCCATATTTTGTTTTTAGTTTTTAGTTTTTTAGAATTAAAGAAGTGTGTTCTTATTTTTTATGTACGCAATATCGGATTACTTATTTTGTTGATAAATTTTGTTTTTTATGTATGAAAACATCAACTTTCCTCTTTTGTTAAATAAATAAATGTTTTTTATATTTTAAATAATAAAAACTGTTTTATTCAATAAAACTATAGTTTAGCGAATACATTTAACTGACTTAATCACTTAACAATTCGAATTTCGGATATTAGTACTCAGTACTCATTAAAGTATTCGATTCCAAATTGTACTCGATTCCGAAGTACTCGATTCCCTAAAGTATTCGATTCCGCCCATCACTATTCTGAACCACCACCTCAACTGACATATGTTCCAGAAGAAAGAAAGTGTTCATTGATTATTTCTAAAACTGACAGCTCTTTCAACACGTTCTGGTACAATAGTTTATCTAAATTTTCTAATTTCTCTCGAATGCAGCGTTGTATAGCTTATTACGATTTGTCTATAATTTTAAACATATAAAAGAAAAACGGCCCTTGACAGTGCAAGATTTAGAAGACTCATTGATGTTCATTTTAAAAATAATTCACGAAAAACATTTCTATACTGAAATTTCTCATCTCAAAGCGAATGAAAATCTCCCTAATAAAAAGCTCGCTGCTTTAAATCCCTTTGTAGATTCAAATAATATAGTGCGAAGAGAAGTAAGATTGAATAATGCCAACATCTCATATGACCAAAAACATCCAATCTTGCTTCCTACCAATGACCATATCGTTACTCTCATGCTCATTCAAGAACATCAACGGCTTGGTCACGCAGGCCCACAAAATGTTCTTTCAAATTTCCGCCTGAGGTTCTGGCCATTGGACTGCCTTCGAACAATTAAACGCATAATAAGAAAATGTGTTTTATGTTTTCGTTTCAATGGGCAATCTACTCAACAAATAATGGCTAGTTTACCTGAAGATCGTGTCAATATTTCTCGACCGTTTCAAAAAGTCGGTGTTGATTTTGGTGGCCCATTTTTTATCAAGTGGTTCAGGTTACGCAAGGTATCTCTAATTAAATGTTACATTGCCCTTTTCGTTTGTATGGCTACAAAAGCAGTGCATATTGAGGTTGTTTCCGGTTTAACCACAGAAGCATTTCTCATGGCTCTTAAACGATTCATATCTCGAAGAGGAAACCCCTCAGTTATTTATAGTGACAATGCAACTAATTTTGCAGGTTCAAAAAATCAATTAAAAGAACTCTATGAGTTTTTTAAGAGACAGGACAACTCTGACTCAATTAAAAATTTTCTCAGTCAAAATGAAACCGATTGGAAATTTATTCCTCCGCGTTCCCCACATTGGGGGGGACTATGGGAAGCTGCCATAACAAGCACGAAGTATCATTTAAAGCGTCTAATAGGAACTTCTAATTTTACCCTTGAAGAGTTTACCACAATTTTGCAGCAAATCGAAGCTATCCTTAATTCGAGACCATTGTGTGCTTTGTCCAATGATCCTTCAGATTTAAATTCTTTAACACCAGGACATTTTCTGATTGGAACGTCATTAACAGCTTTTCCCGAGAAAAATTTGTCAGCTCTTCCTCAGAACAGATTGTCGTTCTGGAAACAAAGTGCTCGCATACAACAAGTATTCTGGAAACGCTGGTCCATTGAATACTTGAATAGACTTCAAAACAGACCAAAATGGCTCAAATCATCAAAAAATATTGATGTTGGAACTCTCGTTCTTTTAAAAGAGGATGACACCCCTCCCTTGCATTGGCCATTGGCTAGAGTTATAGAAGTTTTTCCTGGAGGCGATGGAAAAATTAGAGTTGTAACACTTCAAACATCAAATGGCAGCTATGTACGACCAATCACAAAAATATGTTTATTGCCCGATCAAGACATTACAGTATGCGAAAAAGAATCTTCTTAGTTTATAGTATATATATTTTCTCATTTGTTTTATCGTTTTTTCGTATCTTCATTAACATAAAAACAGTTTCTTGAAGCTTAGATGCTTCAATCAATTTTTATTTTTATATTTAATATAGTTTTTGTCGCGTAATATTTTGTTCGCACGCTTCACGCGGAAGCAGTAGTACGACGAGAGAGTCGAAGAGAAGTGTTCGAACCGGAAGAGTGTGCATACAAGTGATCCGCTGTTCCTTAAATTCGCAGTTGACCAAAGACGCTGCAGATTTCGCAACAAAACAAGGTAGGCGAACAATCGACCTCTTTTCTATTTATTTAATGTAATTTTCATCGCAAAATATCATATCGCAAAACGCATTTTTTTCACGAACCGCAGTCTCCAGCAGATATAGCTTCTCAACTTCTTCTTAAAAACACTTAAATTAGTTTCACATTTTAATAAATGTGGGAGATGATTGACAACTTTTATACCATTTATACCGGGCAATTCCTTAACCCTATAAGATGTATCGTAGCCATATTATGGCAACATTAACAAAACCATTTTATTCCGTTCTCGCGACTAACGTACTGTTTTGGTCAACGTTGTTGTATGGCTACAAAAATATCTCGAACGGAGTAGTAGGGTATCGCCATCTAGAGACACGATTTAGAATTTTTTTCTAAACAAAATGGTTGCGTTCTCTCGGCTGTGTGCATAGCGCGTAACGCGGTGTGTTATTATTGAATATTTTGGTAAGTAATAGTTTGTTTTCAATTCTGCTTTTTCGCAGGGGTATTTTACGTGGATTTATCGCCCTAAGTCATATATCAGTTATGTTTACAGTACAAGTATTTAGGAGTAAAATAAGTTTGAAATTTGACGTAGACATATGGCAACAACAAACTTCAACGTTTTTCTTTCAGATCAGTGTCGATATGAATTCGTCAAATTTTGCTTCTATTAGTTGTTCCAAATTTTATGCGCAAAAGAATAAAAATGATATGCCTATACCTTACGTCCCTAAGGAGTTACGGGATTCTGACCTATCGGACTACGGCAGTTCTGAAGAAGAAGAAGAGATATAAATTGAAAAAGGTGCGGGCGACCATATTCTTGCTTTTGAATCGGAGTCGGAAGAAGAAAGGGCTATGATAGATGAAGATATCGTCGTTTCGGATTCAGATGTGGATAGTGATTATTCGAATATTGAAGAAGAGGAGCCAATAAGACCACCCAAGAAGAAAACAAAGAAGCAGACAACTACTTACAACTGGACGGAAGATGACTTGCCCATGGATTTATTGTTACCCCCAGAGATTCCACAAGTCGAAAATATAAAACTGCCTTTAGAGGACTTCATCAAATTCTTTTCGTTTGATCTTATGCAAGAAATAGTGGATCAAACTAATCTATATTGTACTCAAGTGACCGGTAGCTCTCTTGACCTGGATAATTTTGAATTTACCTCTTTCTTCGCAATAGTTCTTACTATAGGGATAATAAAACTACCAGCAATTTTAAATTATTGGTCAATTCATACAAGAATACCACGTTGCAGATGCGATGCCTGCGAGACGATTTAAAAAATACGCCGCTTTCTTCATTTTGCCGATAATTCCCAAATCACAGATGAAACAAAAGACAGATTCTACAAGATACGCCCATTAATAAATAAAATAAAAGCAAATTGTCGACAGTTTCAACTCGAGAACCAATATTCCATTGACGAAACAATGGTTCCTTACAAGGACTTTTGCCGGCAATCTTCGTCAGTACATCAAAAACAAACTCCATAAATGGGGGTTCAAATTGTTTGTTAGGGCAGGCGTTTCGGGCTTTATATATGATTTTATACCGTACCAAGGAACGCATACTTTCAATGAACTTCGCGATACACCAAACGAACTGAATGATTACGAAAAGTCACTTGGAGCAGGAGCATTTGTGGTGATAGCGCTTTGTAAGAGTATTTACGAGAAACCAAAAGCTGTCGTATTTTTTGATAATTATTTTTCTAGTTTGCCACTATTTATAGATCTAAAAAATCAGTTTGGCATAATGAGCCTTTATACAATCAGGTCTAATATGACGTTAATAATTTATTAACACGTTGAGCCCCGGCGTGACACTGAAAAAAATGTTTTGTTGGGACCGGTTTTTTTCTGCTTCAAACCCTTATATTTCGTTTATACATACAGTGTGACCCACTCAAGACCGGGCACCCTCCATAAAATCTGTGTTTATAGTCCGATTTTGATGATTTTTTTTTCAAATATAAAGTTTCAAAAAATGTACTTTAGGGCTCAATGTCATGTTATTTCACAAAAAACAAGGCCTACTTAATAAAGTTTTTGTGGTGAAAAATTTGCAAAATCATATTAGCGATTTTTTTTCAAAAAATTTGAGTACACCCCTACATTCGGCATCCCCAAAACAGTTCTGTACAAATTTCGTTTAAAAATATTAATTATTAATAATTCTGCAGTTAAATTAAATAATTCCCTATTTTTGCCAATTTAACGATGAGTTATCACGTAACCCTTGAAAAAAACAATCCACAACAATGGGTTTTATTAGCTGTCAATTCTTGCAGCGTAGAATTGAATATTAATTTAATAGCACGCAGAAAAGTGTTGTATCAAGAAATATTATTTGCATTATGGAACAATTAAATATTAGGGATAAAATTGAAATTATTCGTTTAGTGGGTGATAACTATCTTCAAGCAGGAGAAGCTGCCAGAGAATTTAACAACAGACATCCCGACAGACCTGCAGTAAGTAGAAGCACGGTTCAACGAATAAATAGAGTTTTTAATGAAACTGGTTGTGTGTCAAAATACTTACTAAAAAACAGAAGGCCGGAACATCGAATAAATAGGCGGAATGAGGAAATATTAGAATATTTTCGTAACAATCCTCGTGCAAGCATTAGAGGCGCCAGTGTTGATTTGGATATACCAAGGGAAAATATTAGGAGATGTTTGCGAACTAATAAAGTTAAACCCTTTAAACCAAAGATTTTACACACTTTGGAAAACGGAGATGATGTTAGACGATTAGAATTCTGCTTATGGGCTCAAGCAGAGTATTTAAATAATAGAAATTTCTTAAAAGAAATTTTATTTAGTGATGAGGCAACATTTAGTACAAACGGAGTAGTATCCTCTCAAAATTCGCGATTCTGGGCAGTCGAAAACCCTGAATGGGTGATCAATACAAGAAGACAGTATTCTCAGAAATTAAATGTGTGGTGTGGCATACTTGATGATAGAATCATTGGTCCATATTTTTTTGAGAGAAATTTGAATAGTCCAACGTTTTTGAATTTTCTGATTAATGACTTTTGGGATGCAATACATAATTTACCATGCCAAACCCGTTTGAATTTAAAATTTCAATTGGACGGATCACCTGTGCATAACGCGGCAGTTGTCAGGGAATGGTTAAATGAAAATTTTGAAAATAAGTGGATAGGTCGAAATAGCCCGCTAATTGGGTGGCCACCGAGATCCCCGGACCTAACACCCCTTGATTTCTTTCTTTGGGGTTTCTTAAAGCAACAAGTTTACAAGTCTAGACCTCAATCTGTAGATGAATTACGTATTAGAATTACAGAGGCTTCTGCAAATATTACACCACAGCAGCTTAGGAATGTAACTGTTAATCTAAGAAAAGATGCGACAAATGTATTGAACTGAATGGAGGGCTGGTAGAAGCAACTAGAATTATTTGAATATGTTTAACTTATTATTCGGTTATTGTGTTGCTTGTAGTATTTTTTTATCATTGTTTGTAATAAAACTCGTTGTCGTGGATTGTTTTTTTCAAGGGTTACTTGATAACTCATCGTTAAATTGGCAAAAATAGGGAATTATTTAATTTAACTGCAGAATTATTAATAATTAATATTTTTAAACGAAATTTGGTACAGAACTGTTTTGGGGGATGCCGAATGTAGGGGTGTACTCAAATTTTTTGAAAAAAAATCGCTAATATGATTTTGCAAATTTTTTACCACAAAAACTTTATTAAGTAGGCCTTGTTTTTTGTGAAATAACATGACATTGAGCCCTAAAGTACATTTTTTGAAACTTTATATTTGAAAAAAAAATCATCAAAATCGGACTATAAACACAGATTTTATGGAGGGTGCCCGGTCTTGAGTGGGTCACACTGTATGTAGGTAAGGTTTATATACGTTTATATACGCCAAAAAAGGAATTTTGAAGGTATTTTTGTTTGTTTATTTTTAAGTCATCGCGTTGGTGCCACCCCGTCCTAAGGACGAAATATTCTTATTTGGACCGTGAGTACCCAACGCAAAATAGGTAGTAATAATCATAGTTTGATAGAAGGCAAAAAGAAAAAATGTGTTGTTTGCTACGCAAGAATCAAGCAGGAACTGGGTAGAGCAGAAGCACAAAATAAAACGCCACGATCAAAATACCTGTGTTCTGTTTGTAAAACCAGTGTCTGTATTTCTTGCTTTTTTGAAGTGCATTCGGCTAACAAAAATGTTTAAAATATATTTATCCTAATTAGTTATAAGTTGTACTGTATTTTTAATGATAATAATATATAAAAAAAACTGCTAAAAAATTATTGTCTGTTTTACCATGCGATAAAATTTATAGGTTCTAAAATTTTCCCAACCCGCTAACATGCATGTACCCTTTGGACCGCAGATTTTCAAAACCGACTACATTTACACAGCAGTGTGCAATCGTCTTGATGCCTCGGCGTCCGAAATCAAATCTTACTGTGTGGCATCTTTGTGATATCACGCGGTCCCAGGGGTACACTAAAGTGAGGCACCAGTGAAATGCCACCCGGGGCTTAACGTGTTAATCTAATACGCTCATCTCCGATAAAGTTCTTCAAAAGCGAGGCCAAGGGTCATACGATTTCAAAACTGTTCTTCTTCTTACAGTGCTATACTCTATACAGAGCGTGGGCTACCTCTCGCATGTACTTGTGATGTGTGTCATCAGTATTTCACAAGTACACGGGACCTACAGTTTATCGCCGAAACCGAACGACACTATTTGAGAGGCTGTACAAGGCAAATATACTCAAGGTGGTTTGCCATTGCCTTCCTTGAGGTGGCGGCTCGTTGGTCGCTCTATTTAGATAAGTAAATATTATTTTTATTTAAATAAATAAAGCGACCGTACTGGCTGAGGATCGAACCCAATACTATCCCATCTCTCGCACCGCAGATCGACACACTAACTGCTTGCGCTACGGCCGGCCACTCAAAACTGTTAAGGATAAAAATATAATGATTTTGAAATGGGCCGATAACAAGTATGTTCTGTTAGGCAGTACCGTTTGCGGGCTTGAACCAATGGGAACAGTTAAAAGGTATTCTAAAGCAGAGAAAAAAAAGTGGATGTAGCCCTCAATTATCTAGAATTATAATAAGCATATGGGGGTGTGGAAAAAGCCAATGTCCTTTTGGGACTTTACAGAAGTCCAGGAAGAGCTCGTAGATGGTACATAACATTATTTACATATATGCTAGACATGTGTGTTGTAAACGCGTGGATTTTATATACAGGGTGGATTTTATATACAACAGCCAGGGTATTTATTTTTTCAAAAAATCCAAAAACACGTTAATTTTGTTTGTGAGAGGGATAACTTTTGCCGCAAAAATGATTGCAAAATATTCAACCCTCTAAGCGGGGGAGTCATCCCCCAACTTTTTTTAAATAGAAAGGGGGGTCAAGTGGCGCCGCAATGAAAAGAGCTTTCTATTCTCTATATTTCCCCGCTTCGTTTTTGAAAATCGGTCTAGTCATTGAGAAAATATGAAGGATTGAGATTTGAAAAGTTTATTTAAGCATTTATCAGAGTAAATGATAATTAAGGATAAATTCGACCAATTTACTGTTTTTTCTTATTATTTCTAGATGTTTACGCATTTTTTCACTTGCCACAACGTTGAACGATCAGGTGCGGTAGTTGCTAGATAGCTGTTCTGTGACTTGTACGTTGAAGTTCTTCTCAATATCGTTAAACTGACCCACAATAGAATTTCCAAAAATACCAGCCCACCCATTCAATTTCTGAGGGGTTTGTGTGTGTACCTCGTGAAAAACCCTGGGGTTGTCCAGCCCAGTACCGACAGTTATGCCGATTAACTACACCGTTCAAAACGAAAGTACACTCATCCGAAAAACATACATTAAATAGGAAATTATTATCATTCGCCACTCGTTCACTCATAGTTTCACAAAACTGCAGGCCACGATCAAAATCGTCTTCGTTGAGTTCTTGTACCAACTGAATTTTTTGTACGGGTGGAACTTGTGTTTTTTTTTAATATGCTTTGGAAACTTGTACGATTCCCGCCGGTCTCATTAGCTAATTTTCTTGTACTCAGAATACTGTCCATGGCAACTTGGCCCAATACGAATACCTCCA